GCCTATTGAAGCGTGGGGCCCGGGACAACTGCCCTGCTCACCCTGGCCTATATCAGCTGCTGAGATCAGGAGTGGGCAATAATTTTTAATGAGAGCCACTCCAAGATTCTGGCAAATGCTCAAGGGCTGAATTTCTACCAGTGGGGTGTGGGATCTGGAACAGATGTTAGGTGCAGAATGGAGTTTGGAGTAGGAGACTGTGGTGCAGGAGGGGGTGTGGAGTCGGAGAAGGAGTTTGGGTGAAGTGGAGGGTTGTGATCTGGGGCAGAGGCATAGGGTGCAGAGTCCAGGAAGGAGTATGGGTGTAGCACAGGATTCTGGCCTGAGGGAGGGGCTCTAGGAGGGGGTACAGAATCTTGGAGGGAGTTGTGACCTGGGTGAAGGGGGTGCAGAGGGTTTAGATGATGGCTTGGGGCAGGGGAATGGGATGGACTGTCAGGTAGGGGCATGGGTGAAAGAAAATTCTGGCCTGGGGGAAGGGTGCAGGAGAGAGTGCAGAGTCTGGGAGGGAGTTGTGACCTGGGGAAAATGGGTACACAGAGTTTGGGTGGTGGCCTGGGGAAGGTAGTTGGGGGCAAGAGAGGGTAGGAGTGCCAGAGGCAGACTCTGTCTGGGAGGGGCTTACCTAGGCATCTTCCAGTCAGCAGCCCTGCAGAACCTGAAGGCTGCAGTCACAAGCTGCTCCACATGGCTCTGCTCCATGCAGGGTGAAGGAGTGGGGAGGATAGAGAAGGCTTCATTGGCTGCCCCTGCCACCAGCAAAATCTCTCAGCTACTATACAAGAGTCTGGGAGGGAGTTGTGACCTGGGGAAAATGGGTACACAGAGTTTGGGTGGTGGCCTGGGGAAGGTAGTTGGGGGCAAGAGAGGGTAGGAGTGCCAGAGGCAGACTCTGTCTGGGAGGGGCTTACCTAGGCATCTTCCAGTCAGCAGCCCTGCAGAACCTGAAGGCTGCAGTCACAAGCTGCTCCACATGGCTCTGCTCCATGCAGGGTGAAGGAGTGGGGAGGATAGAGAAGGCTTCATTGGCTGCCCCTGCCACCAGCAAAATCTCTCAGCTACTATACATCAGAAACTGGCCAATGGGAGCTGAGAGATTTTGGTGAGGGACAGGGCAGAGCCCAAAGCCTCCCTCCTTGCTCCCAGAATAGATTAGTCACATTTAAAGCGGCTGCCACTGCGCTGTCCTTAAGGGTCCCAGTAAGGTGGCTTGCTGGACCAGATCAGGAGGTTTTATGAACAAGTCAAACAAATCCCTGTCAGGTATAGTCTAGAACAGTTAGTTCTGCCTCAATGCAGGAGACTGGACTAAATGACCTTTCAAGATCACTTCCAGTCCAACATTTCTATGTTTCTGTGATTCCAGCAGACCATGTGGGCTCCAAAGAAATTCATCACCCCCTCAAGCAGCTTTTTCAAATCCCAAACTACTAATTTAAGCACAGAAGTGGCTTTTCCAATTTTCAATTCAAAATTATCAGCTCCACAAAATTTCACATAAAAATAGATGTATGAGAAGGAATGAATACAACTAAATCAAGAGAAAAAGTAGCTTCACAATCAAAATTGCTAAGGTGCTTCTGACTAGCACTCTTTATCATGGTCAAAGTTTCAGCTTCATTATAAACAGTCAGCTGGCTGCCTTTTCTCTCCTACATTCCCCTCCCCAGTCATTCTCATCTTAAAGGATCTTATTAGTAAAATGCCTCCTTCCCCCTTTCATCTATGTGAAAGTTTCATTTCTCCCTCCTTGGTCACTGCTGTCCTCATTTTTCCACTTTAAAAATTGGCTCACTGTACACCTGTACTATAGAAGCTGGTCTCATGTCAATATCTCATTATTTTATAACAAACAAGAATATAATCAGGAGCACAAATTCTGGAATAAACTTATCATAGCTGGTATTTTAAAAACCTTTTAAAAATTAATCAAATGAGAAAAACGAATCACAAAAAGTAAACTGAAAGTACAAACGATAAAAAGTTGGGGCTGCTCTTTAACTATATGGCAGCTAAACAAATATAAATTAAGTATGGTAAAAATGTGCAGCTGGCATCAAAAGTTAGGTGTTAAATTTGTCTGATAATTTTCAAATAACTGAGTAGCAGTATTATTTAGTGAGTCTAGGAGTTAGGTCCCTGGGGTTCTATTCCAAACTTTGCTTCTAACTGGTGAGTGACCTTAGCCAACACAATTAGTCTTTTGCTATCTGTAAATTTATTATAATATGTATAAACCTTTATATCATGTTTTGAGATTCTTAAGTGAAAGGGAGCATGTAAGTGGAAACTATTAACATTAAAAATGAAAAGTTTAAAACACTGTACATGTAACACACTTACAAAGGGGAAAAAAACTCAGCAACAGTTACAGCCCAACAGTACTAACCACAATATCACTACCAAGATAATGAAAACATTAACAATTAACACTGGTATATAAATACTGTAGCTCAAAATGGAAAACAAATAAAGTCATAAAGCAATTTCAGGCAGTGACATTGGGAGTTATAAAGCTGAAAAAAGAGAAAATGAAGAGATCATATATAAGATTTGAGGGAAAGAAACAAAAGAAACAGCATAAAGCATGAGAAATATAGTACATTGATTAATGTTTTTGCAGATTAAGTGTGATGGATTGGCCTCCTCTCTACCTCTCCTGAATCAATACTTGCAAATGCTGATTTTAATCCAAAAAAGGTTCTTGCAGCAACTCCATCCAGTGCCAAATACCGCAGATATACCATAAGCAAATTCACAGAGGACTCCTTAAATCGAAGAGTCCAATTAAAGCTTCTGTTCACATTATTTTAATACCATTAACTATTTTATTAATAGACTGTACCTTAGTTTTCATGAACTTTGAGTGACTCTTGTAAACCTCTATTTGTTTGATCTCTTCTTCTCGGTCCTCTATATTCAGAACTCCATTTGTTTTTAACATCTGTATTTCATCTTCAAGATCTCTTAAATTGCGCTCAAGAGAAGCTATTTTTGTGTCCTGGATTAAAAACGTAAGAGAGTATGTGTTATTTTATGAAACCTGATTGTTAAAAACACAGTATTTGTAGCAATGTAATACAATAATGCACCAGCACAAAAAAACTGGACAAATTCTGCTCTTATTGAAGAACTGTAAGCCCTGTATATAAATGGAAAACACTTCAACCCAGGGGATGCAGTGGCACCCCCACACCCATAGTTCTAGCACCTACATACTAATGTAAATCCTGGATAATTCCATTAACGTTGACTTAATGGAAAAAAGGATTTGGATTTCTGCTCCCACACGCATGATACATCATTTTATTTTAGCATCTATTATTTATTTAAGCATCTATTTTGATGCTTATGCTCAATCTGGGCAAATTCCTGCTCTTTTAGAAGGCATACAAAAGAAGTACAATAGATGGGGACAACATACCCATATGTACCTGGAAATACCTTATACGTTCTGCCAACTACTTAGGGTCATCATGAGCTGGCTGGACTCTCAATATAGGGGTCTCTTAAACATAAGGTTACAATTCTGTCCTGCTATTTTGAGAAATAAGTAGTCTATTTATGTCCATTTCCTCCACTGGTATATGCATATATAAGCCAACAGGTAGAATATATACTTCTCATCCGACATTCTCAAAGAACATTGCAAACTGTATGTAACCAAGTTAATATTCAACAGAAATGCCACTTCCTATGCCACCTCGTATACTGGTTACCATTTTGTGCCTGTACAACAATGAAAAAAAATCTAGTGATTCAGCTGTCATTTTAATTTGTTGTCTGGAAACTGAAACAGCTATCCACTTGTGGATGGATAGAAATCATTAGGATTTGTACTTTATCACACAACCTTCACTTTGAAACACTATAGCAAAATGACTCAGTAAGCAATCTGTTTTCAAACATTTATTAGGGAACAAATTCTACATGAATCAAGCACAGAGAAATTAAATGAAAGAATACAAAGTAACCATGACAAATTAGAAACTGGGATAAAATCCTTGGCCCGGTGAAGTCAATGGCAGGTAGAGTCAGGATTTTATCTCATTTCTTCTTGAATAAAATAAAAGCTGAACCAAACCTTTTCCCCCCCCAAGGCAAACTAAATTTGAAACTGTCATAAAATATAATTTTGTTTCTGTTTTCAGCTGACTATCCTGTCTGTTAGCCAGAAGCTGAGGTCCTGAGATATTAAATAAAGGTTATTCCTACGTAGGGTTGCCAACATTCAAATAGCACAAAGCCTCACACCTTTCCAAGAGTCTGTCCCATGCCTTTCAAAAGGCCCTGCCTGTACACTCCATCCCCGCCTCATTTTCACATGGCTGAGGCAGGAGTTGGTGTATGAGGTGGTGAGGGCTATGGCTGGAGGTGCAGGCGCTGGGGCGTAGCTGGGGATAAGGGTTGGCATGAGAGAGGGTGGACTCTTTGGTGTGGCCAAAACCAATAAGTTTGGGGTGCAGGACTTCAGCCTGAGGCCAAGAGCTCAAGGTATGGAAAGGAGTTTGGGGTTCAGAAAGGGTGTTGGGGTATGGGGGTATGCAAGCTCCAGGCGACCAGGAAATGGCATATAGATCCCTGTGGCTCCTAGGCAGGGGGTGAGGGAAGCTGCCCACCCCCAAAAGCACCACCCCCACAACTCTCACTGCTTGTGGTTCCCAGCCAAAGGGTGCTGAAGAACCAGTGCTGGAGGCAGGATCAATAGACAAAGCCTCTCTGGCCCCTTATATACCTATGAGCTGTGTGAAGTCAGGACAGATAGGGAGCCTGCCTTAGCCCTGCTGTGCCAACAACAGGACAACCTGGTCAGCAGTGCCCCACGCCACCAGGATCCTTTTTCTACTGGATGTTCCAGGCAAATCCTGGGAGCCTGGCCACCCTAACTGATTACTTAGACAGTCTGGATGAAGTTATCAGCACCCAAATTTTTGCATGATAATAAAGCCTATCATCAGGATATGGCCAGCCTCTGAACTTCTGATTATTAACCCACAATGAAACTTTGAACCTTTTGAATTACACCAACTATCATTACAAATTCAAGAACTAAAATAATAAAGGGATGTAAATTAATTTATTTTTCTGATCATCATTGTTTTGCTTTGCAATATTGTTAACTTTTATTCCTGTAATCAATAATGATTTGCAGAACCAAGGAATTAATGGAATGCCTTTATTTCCTTTATTGGTAATAAATAACCAGGTAGCAGTTAGATGGGAGAGATTCTGTCTCTAGAACAATATCTTCTTTGGCTTGCTCTGTGATAGTTACCTATAATTTGGCTAACTTAATTCAGAGTATAGACAGATTGGTGGAAAAGAAGAAAATGAGAATTATACAACTAAATTCCTATATGATATACCTATATTTTTAGTCTCCACTTCCAGGCCTAACTCCTTATTGCCAAGCAATTAGTGCAAAATGTTGAGGTCTCGATTGTACCTAGGCCTCCACAGATGCACAAAAGAAAGGTTAACCCACAGAAGAGCCATCTTGTGCTTATATGGGAACACACAAAACATTTGCTTTTGAGCAACGACCAACAGATTCTCACAGGAATAGTACAATTAGAAACCTCAAAGATGTGCAAGTTTTAAAGTAACCCCACAAACCTATTCTCCCACTGCACCAGTCAAAAGAGCTAAGGCAGCACAGGGGGAGCACCTAGTGGAAGCTATTACAATATGCAGCTCCTCCCCACCAAGTAGGACCAATCCCAACTACAGGCAGTCCCCGGGTTACATGGATCCGACTTACATCGGATCTCTACTTACAAACGGCGTGAGGCAACCCCGCACTAGCTGCTTCCCACCAGCAGACCAGGGAGACGCAGAGCGGCTTTTCTCAGCAGACACCTCATCTTGAGAATAAAGGACTGAGGGAAGTGAGGTGTGGGAGAATAAAACTGAGCTCTGGAGAAATGTTTGACTAGAGTTTCCCCTACAATATGTACCAGTTCCGACTTGCATACAAATTCAACTTAAGAACAAACCTACAGTCCCTATCTTGTACGTAACCCGGGGACTGCCTGTACACACACATTCTCTCTCTCCCTCCACCTGCCCCTCAAATGCAAGATTTTCCTGGTACACAGAAGCCTGTTCTAGCAAGTGAGCCATCCCCTTGCCCAGCTTACATATCCACAGCACATTGCTCCCACTGTTGATGGGGTAGCTAAAGACAAAAATTTATAATTGATGCAGGTTGGCACAAATGCGCTGCATATGCTCTTTTTTCCAGGTTGTTAGATTGTTAGACTAAGGGTATGTCTACTCTACCACGTTTGGAAAGGAAACGTATATCGATACACAGAAATCTAAAAAAACCAAAAACGGCGAGGAGTCCTGTGACACCTTATAGACTAACTGAAGTGTTGGAGCATAAGCTTTCGTGGGCAAAGACCCACTTTGTCAGGTGCATGGGTCTTTGTTGTGCATCTGACAAAGTGGGTCTTTGCCCACGAAAGCTTATGCTCCAACACTTCAGTTAGTCTATAAGGTGTCACAGGACTCCTCGCCGTTTTTGGTTTTTTTAGATTTCTGTGTATCGATATACGTTTCCTTTCCAAACGTGGTAGAGTAGACATACCCTTAGTCTAACAATCTAACAACCTGGAAAAAAGAGCATATGCAGCGCATTTGTGCCAACCTGCATCAATTATAAATTTTTTAAAAATTGCTTGAATACTGGCACCTCTTTCACTGCACATTGAGTACTGAGATGCAGTATCTTCTTCAAACCCAAAGCTCTGTGGTTTACTTACAGTCTGGGACTGTCGGAATGTTGTTGGTGTAGATAGTCACAGAACTTGGTGCTTGAATTACAAAGACAAAAGGTTTGGCTACAGTAAGATGAAGGAAGAAGTGTAACACTATTAGAATTATGTCTACATTAGGATTATTTAGCAACAAAAGTGCTGCTGAAATGCAAAAGCCACTAAAAGTAAAAATGGTCAGACCAGTTTTTCTGCCTCTCATTGTTGACTTTTCATTGACACATTGCTAGCACCCTGTCAACAGACTGATTTGCTCTATGTAGGTAAGATCCCACAGTACAGTGTTGTGGGAAGGCAGAGCCGATTCCTGTGCTTCTTGGGATTCCCTCATAATTCTGTGAGCTCTCTGGGCTAAGGAATGTCAAAGCAGCGCAGCAGTCTCTCCAGTCCTCCCCCTGCAGCAGCAGTCTGCCTGCCATTGTGTTCTTAATAAAGGACAGAAGAGAAGCATTCCAATGATTTGCTCTTTGCTCCCCAAACGGAGCAGTTCACTCAGGCTAAGTCTAGACTGCAGCGTTTTTGCAGAAAAAGCTATGCAAAATCACTCTGCATTTTGCGTAGCTTTTTCTGCCTTTTTTTTTTTTGGAAGAGGCTTTTCTATCATTTGGCCCCATCCAGATGGAGCCAAATGGCGGAAAAGCCTCCTTTTTCAGTGGAGCCCTTATGCCTCATGAAACGAAGTATACAGGGCTTCC